TGAATTAACTACATATGCTCACAAAATTTCATTTCAATACAAACTGTCGTTCTCCTTAGAGCCTCCGCGGCGTATGAGAGGCGCCACCCTGTACATTCTCAAATATTTCTTAAAAATTTGGAACGCAACAGAAAACATAAAAGAATAGAAATTACATATGGTGTGTATTCTGAATCGGTACGTTTCGGGAATGTACGCATCTAAACGCCGGATTTACCACAAATATGAGTGTGTATAAAAATGTAGATGGCGCTGCGATACAGGGAACTTTAGGTTACCACAATTCTGAAAGTGTGTGATACCAATAAATATTATGATTTGTGGAAACTTACACACGTAATTTTTCGGATCTAGCCGACCAGACTAATTTTGACCCGAGGATATCGAATTTGCTATCAGAAAATTGTGGTATACGCGTGTATGTATACCATAATTGAGACGTATGTCACAAATACTACTACTGCACACACAAGGTGTCACAAATATGGTCACACATACACACCAGGGGTTTGAATAAGTCAAGAGGTAGATGGAGAAGGAACGGTTGTCTCCAGAATATTTTTATTTCTTCTGCCTTCCGTGATAATTCGTTTTGTTTCAATTTGTTTTTAGGTAAATTCCAACATTGTTTTAATAAAGATTATAAGAATTTATAAAAATTTGATATATACATTTAGTGCCTAGAGCACAACTCAAGAAAACTTGTCTTTTTTGCATTTTTTCGAGGTAAAATTAAAATCGCAAAGTACAAATTTTACTGTTTTTATATACCTTGTGATAAAATGCACACTTAATAAGTCTTACTCACTCTTAAACTATTCCACTTGTTTGAAATTTTCGCCCAAATAAAAATATTTTGATTTAATAATAATTTAGGTAAAGCCTTTAGCTTATTTGCTAGCTCAGAATTAGAATTATTAGAGTTAAGCAACTCGCATTTTGATTCGAGGACATTATTATAATTATTTCAAACCAATAATCAACGAGAATCTATACTGATATATAAAATCCTTAAGTGACTGACTCACTGATTAATCACGATCCTGCTCAAACCTTCTTCTTCTTACAGTGTCTTCTCTTTGGATGTTGGCTATCACATTGGTCCATATTACTTTGTTCACTGCCGTTCTGAACAAAGCTGTTGACGTCATTCCGGTCCATGTTCGTAGATTTCGCAGCCACGATATTCGTCTGCGTCCCGCCGATCTTCTGCCTTCTATTTTCCCCTGCAGTATGAGTTGGAGTAGGCGGTATTTCTCGTTCCGCATGATGTGTCCGAAGTATTCCAGTTTTCTGCGTTTGACATTCACCAGAAACTCCAAGACCTTGTTGATGCGGTGTAGTGCTGTCTCATTTGAGACGCGATGCACCCACGAAATCTTAAGCATGCGCCGATAGCACCACATCTCAAATGCCTCCACACGCTTGCATGATGCGTCGGTAAGGGTCCATGCCTCTGCCAGCTCAAACAGCTGAACGTAAAAAGCTCAATTTTGGCTCATATTTGGCAGGTTGATTCTAGGGTGTAGAGGTTCGATAAGAATGGATTCTTCGAAATTCCAGTTCCAAGGGGGTAAACCACCCCTCAAATATTACAATATTTTTTATTTAAAAAACGGTCAAGTTTCCGAAAAAACGCTTAAACACGTATATTTTATTTTCTTTTTTTACATATTTTAAGATTTTTTAAAAATGTACAGGGTGGATCAAATTCGACGCTTTTAAATGGAAACACCCTTTTCTATAGAAGATAGACAAAAACTGATGATCAGCTCAATTTTTGTCAAAAACATGATGGTGAAAACCGCATATCGATATCTGTTACCGTTTCGGAGTTACGGGGTGTTTTTCAAAAATATGCATTTTTAACAAATCGCTGTAACTTTTTTGCTATGGAAAATTTTGCATTTTTATGAAAACATTTCTAAAGCACCTTTTTACGTAGAATTTAATGGTTTAAGTATAATTTTTTTAAAATTAATAATTTAAAAATTATCAACAGAAAATTTGATTTTTTATATGGGACACCCTGTATATTTTTAATTTATTGAAAAGAATTTAAAATTAGCTTTCCAAAAATATAACACACTTGATATTTTGCTCTATTCCTCCTCGTGATATAGAGTATATAAAAATTCGCCCGCTTTAAATAAGTAGGCTTTGAACGGCACCGGCTGTAATGCAAAAAATTCTAGCTGTGAGCATGAATTAAAACGAAAATAATATTTGCTATGAGAGGTGCAGAATTTTATGAAAATATATTTAACATTTAACCAACATCAACACATTTAAACTATATCTAATAACAATAAAAATAAATAGCAAACCAAGACATGAGATTTTGCTACAGGTGTTCGACATATCGACCGTTTTCTGTTATGGACAGACGGGGTAGTTTGTGAACATTTCTCGCGGAATTCATTAACCCCCTCAGTTGGGGGTTTGGATATAAAGATACCCTCTCTTAACTGCTAAGTATTTCTAATTCTTGTCTAGACTATACGGAAGAATAAGGAACCTTTATTCTTCCGCAAATATATCCATAGGATTAGATCCATGGGCACTAAGTCAGCGCAAAAGATTGGCGCTTTTCAATAGTGCCAAGAACGACGTTTTTTTGCCCAAAGCATTAACTATCTTTTCATAAGTTTTAAAAAGTTACTTTAGAGAATAGAAGAATCTATCTGTCCAAAGTATTTCACTCTTGACCCAAAATGAATATGCAAAGAAGTTCTTGCTACAAGAACAATAGTCCCTTTGATTCATGCAAAAATTCTTGATTGAAAAGGGACAATTCTTGATTAAAGGGGCACTTTTCTTAAACCAATAGCGAATACTATTGACTCAACTAAAATTTATTTTGATCTAAGAGAAGTCTATACATCATATACAGGCATATTACGAGGTATATTTTTTTCTGATAAATTTAGGTTTTCCTGGTCTGTAGTAAGTAAAGTGATATTATTTTCCTCGATAGTAGTTATTTCTGCTTCTTCACTCCTTGGTATTTTTTGGGGTGGTTCATCACTCTACAAATTACAAAAAAATGTTACATCACGATTAATCAAAGTAAAGCAAATAAATTATTAAAATTATAAGCTTTGGTCACATTTTGAATTTTTTAATGCGACGACTTGAAATTCTAAAATTTTTATAATTATTTGCATAAAAAAATGGATACCTATATTCTTATTCTATCTATAGTCACACATGCATTATCTAAACAGGTGCATTAGGTAAATATCTCTTACCTTCAAATATAGCAAATAAATGCTCTAATTTCCATTTTTTTCAGAAACTCCTTGAAAGAATCCATATATCCTAAAATTTGTCCATAAAAAATAACAAATGCATGTTAATAACGATCACTAATTTGTTATACGATATGCGTTTAAAAAGCAAATTATGCAAAATTCCAAGTGGAAATTCCAAGCAACAAAACCCGTACGTACTATGATGTGCGACCTATGAAATGCGACGTACGACTGATCGGACTGCCGACTGGTTGTATATACCGTCCTTCGTCATTGTCTTTGCATGTCGTTATTATTTTTCATCAAAAGAGTATTTAGCTATTGGAAAAATGGCCATGTTTCTTGAATGAAGTACTTCCTAGCGTATTTTTTTTATTATCTTAAAACAAAGTAACTTGCACTTTGTTGAATGAAAATATATTCAAGAGAAATTTTCGAATCTTTCAAGAGAACCAGTTTTTTTGAGTTAAGAGAGTTTTTCTTCAGGCAAAATATTTTATTTTACGCTAAAATAAATTCTCTTGCCACTAATTTTTTTTTTCAAGAACGATGACGACTTTAGTTCAAGTCTATCTTTTTTATCAGTGTAGAATTTGACAATAAAATTAGTTAAATTACTTTCCAGAAACACCCAGTAAACATAAATAAATATATAGGTCATCTTAACCAAGCCTGTTATTACTCCACCATGGTTCGTTCGAGCTCCAAATCATTCTCCACTTCTGCCCCAATGACGTTTATTAGAGAACTACACAAGAGCGGGAGCTCTAACGTTAGATGAAAAATGGAGGCTCGGGACGCCGTAATTCAGCGCGGAAATAATGGGTTTAAATTAGAAAATAGAGCCCGTAGTTCTGAGGCCGGCGCTACTTTTCCAGGATTAAGGCAGGAATATAGAGCCGTTGTGGAGGTGGTGCGTCGCGCACACGAAGAACAGTCTTAGTTGCGAAGTTATTTTCCTGGTTTTAAGGAGATATTTACACGTCGTAAAGAAGAATGAATCTACGAAGTTTAATGAATTCATATTTGGTATAGTTCGAGGTTTTTAGGCAAAATATGATTTATTACCCATATTTACAGAGGTTTTTACGTATCTTGTTTATTAAAAGTTTTTTAGGATCGAATCTAATTATTTTTTGCCCTGAAAATGTAATTTTTGACATAAGATTGACATGATAGAAATATTTTAAAAGGAAAGAACAACTAGATATAAAAAAATAAAAAAGTTGTTTGTGCACTATGTACGCAGATTTGAAGGGATACTTCTTCGTATGGCACAGATCGATACCCAGTGTTGCCACAAGCTTATTTTTATATTTTTATTATTTTTCATCAAGGTAGATTATCATGATAAAGATGATTTAGAGTACATGACAAGAAAACTACAAGAGGAATATCAACGATGGGGTTTGAAAATAAACACACGGAAAACTAAATATCTACCTATTGATGCAGAATTATCTGGCGTACATCTAGAAAATGAAGAGATAGAAGCCTGCAATGACTACACCTATTTAGGAGTGATAATTGATACAACAGCTAAAGATGACAAGGAAATTAAAAAACGAATATAACAAGCTAGAAGAGCAATTGGCTGTCTGAATGGAGTATTTTGGAGTAATGAAATAGGGAGGGAAAAAACGCAAGATCAATATATACGAGACCCTGGTAAAGAGCAGTGTACTATATGGCGCAGAGACTTGGCGAATAACGGAAGCCAACCGAAGAAAACTGAAAGCGGTAGAAATGGATGCCTATAGAAGAACCCTAGGAATTTCCCGAAGAGATAGAGTCCGAAACGAAGAAACCCGACAGAGAATAGGAATAGACGGATCTTTGGCAACCGACATCGAACGCCAACAACTTGTGTGGTACGGACATGTTCAGAGGATGGATGACACCCGACTTCCAAAACAAATTATGCAATGGACACCCCAACATCAAAGAGAACGTGGAAGACCTAAGAAGACTTGGAAGAAGGGTGTCACAAGAGCAATGAGTGCCAGAAATCTAAACGAGGGACAATGGAACGATCGGAAGACGTGGAAGTTAGGCATCGGACAACGTCGCAAGATATTCTAGACCAATATATATGTATGTAGATTATCACGAGATAGCGGTGTTAAATTGTTTTGCAAAGGGGTAGGTCTACCCCGAATGACGTAACTGGGGCAACACTTTTCCTCTCGGCGTTGACTTTTTAATTTAATTTTAATGGGACGTAAGAAAGGCACATATAAAACTAAATTTAAATATACATCGACATATTACCGATACTTTATCCACTCCCTCGTTTATTTAGAATATAGAGGGCGGCACAAGCTAGACTTTAGGATAACTAAATTAGGCAATCTTGCGATTAGTATACTACCTGTTAAGGCAGAACTCCGACTTTATTAGTCCAGTAAGCGACTACTCGAACTACTCCATCTTAATCTCCAAAACAACAAAGTGAAAGCCGCCATGTTGTTGAATAAGAAAATGTTTCGTTCCTAAAATAGCAATTCCTGCTTTTTGAATACATTAACTTTTTAAAAGTGAAGAAATATTTGACCCTAAACAACATGCGGAAACAATTTTTTTTTTCGACTGCGAATAAATTATTCTCATTTTACTAAAAAAAATTCAAGAAATTTTTTAAAACTTCTTTAATTTTAAGGCCCTTTAGTATTTTTCAAAGTAGAAACAATACATTTATCAATAAAGTTGTTTGCGTTTAACTTTTTTGCCTTGGGTAACGAGTTGCAGAGTTGGTTAAAGTGTTTCAATAATTATGATCTTCAAACATCCTCCACACTTAAATACTTTTGTTTTGTTTTCCTTTACTGCCATTTGGCATATGTCTCTATTTATTTATAATTATTCCAATTTAGGATAAAACGCGACTTAGACGGTATATTATTATAGTTTTGTATTTCTGTAAATTAGGATTTTAAACAACGTTGCAGTTTGTACTAAATTAGGCTGCTAGCCAACGTAGGCATCCAACGTCGTTTCGACCCAAAAATTGTTCTCCAAACTAGTGCAGACTAGGGTTGGCACGAGGTTGTGCCGACGTTGCGCCCCGATGTTTGGTCGCGTGACACAACGTTGTCCCGACGTTTAAATGCTGCTTGGGGAGTCAACTATTTGATTGCTTAATCAATTGACTATTTTGATTGCTTTATCAATAAGTTCAATTAAATAACTGTATAATTTATACAAATAAAACTTGGAATTTAGTAGGTAAGTGATGTTGAAAAATAAAACTTTAACCAAGAAATCCTTTTACAAAAAAATACTTTATAAAGACTTTTATAGTCATTTTAAAAGAACGAAATATTCTTTCACAAATTCTCTATGCGTGTATTTATATTCCAGACAACAGGTATCTGTCTAGGGGATTTATGTTTCTTGCTCTAAACTGCAAAGCACATTATTTGTGACATTAAATACTTTATATAGCAGATTGTTCGCTGGCGTCTCTTTATCCGACTGCTCACTTTTATTTCTCCACTTTTTCCTTTTAATCGTTTTCTTTTAATGCTTTCTGGTGCTTCCATTGTTTCCGCTCCGCCATTAAGTAGAGTGGGAACGAGTTATTTCTTTCAAAATGTCGAAGGCTGTATTAAAATGTTGCTGTAGCTTTACTCTAATTCCTCTTAATTTAAGGTTTTAAAGTAAAATGGATAGTAGAAAATGATATTGATATAATAACTTAAAAAAGAACTGCACACATCAGATAGGGTCGTTGACACAGATATTAATGTACAGAGTCAGAATCAGAATTCTTATATATTGGTCTAATTACATTGGTGGAATGTTTTCTTCTTTAGATAAAGTGGATTCTAGATTTGAATATGATTGAGTTTTTTCCATAAGTACTCCATGCTAACTTAATTCTTCTATTGATTTCTGATAGTAGAAATCCCGTGTTGTATGTTAGTTGTCCCAAATATATGTATTCTTCAACTATTTTCAGGGCTTCTATTATTACCTTAGAATATATCGACTCGAAAGCCTTTTCAAAGTCTATGAAGGCTATGGCTATTAGAAATTAGTATTCTTTTGTTCGGCTGATAGTTTCTCTTAGTGTATGTAAGTGATCAATCATGCTGCAGCCGCTTCTAAAGCCTGCTTGTTCTCGTGGTTGTGCAGCGTTTAACGTGTTTTGTATTCTGCTGTTTATTATTTTTGTGAATATCTTGTATATTTCGGGTAATAGGCTTATTGGTTTATAATTTATGTTGTCTTCTTTGCTGCCTTTCTTATGAATTAGAATTATTATTATTAATAATATTTTAATAAGGCAATATATACGCTATTCAGAACCAGGTGCAAGAAAACATAACGGACAGATGTAGAATGTGTAACGAATTTTCAGAATCCATACAATACATAAGTTCTTGTTGTCTCACGTTAGCACCAACAATTTATACAAAAATGCATAATAGCATAGCAAAAATAATTCATTTATAACTGTCACTAATCCTTGGTTTACAATCTGTGCAGACGAAGTATTTTAATTATACCCCAGAACCTGTAATGGAAAACAGCATAAACTATATTGGGATACACTTATTTCAACAGGTAAAACAGTATTACATAATAAACCCGATATACTCTGGATAAACGAGAACAAGAAAAAATTCTTCATAATTGATGTAGCCGTACCAATAGACCATATGCATATGAATTAAAGAGAATATTATACCAGCTCAGTAAAGCCATGGTTTTACCTTTTGTAATCTCTGCCAATGGACTTATTCATAGAGATTTTACAAAGAAAACGCAATTATTAAAATTAAACCCAAAGCTTACCAAGGAGTGCTTAAAAGCAGCCATATTGGGAGCAGTGGGAATTGTCCGAAAAGTGCTTAATATTTAAAAGACCATGAACTAGAGCAGTTCTGGTCAAGAAACCAAACCATCCGAGTTAATCGTGAATTAAAAAAAGGCCAAAAATATATTTGGAACCATTTAGTTTTCACATTATTTTTTTATCGTGTTTTAAAATTCAAAAGAACCGATTATGTGGAATAAAACGGTAGCAGTAACTTTTTTTTTATTTCATCTTGATAAAGTTTTTCGAGCAAATTCAAGAACCGAAAAGGAAGGATTTTAATTTCGGCCAGAGAGAAGTTTTCAAGGGCTGGACGGACGGATTGCCCCGAACCATAACAAAACCCTTTTTAGCCCTCCTATAAAATTGTTATTGTGCTCCAATATTTCGCCGAAAGCGTCAAAAGGAACACTTTCTCCGTTCTTGGAAAGGGACTCGAAACGTTTCTCTTTTCCAAATGTCACTTTAACGAAGTACAGAAGTACCCAAGGAAATAATACAGTTCAGAAGTTGTCTTTTTACATGTTACTTCCACTGTGCTTTAGACAAATTGACTCGGAAACATCGATCGTTTTTCAAATCTTTTTGTCTGGGTTTTAAAAAATCGGGATTTGTTTTGATAGAAGAGTTATTTCTTTTATGTTATTTGATAATAAATATTTTATTTATATTAGAATTAATTCATTTATTTATATAAATATATTATTATTCAATTATACAGTAAATATTGTAAAAAATATCTATACCTATGTTGCGGATTGATCTCTTTAAAAAACCTATGGGTATTTCCCCACATGCAAAGTAAAACAGCCTCTACACTATGCGGAGAATTCTTCGAAGCAGGTCAATGTCGCGTTTCGTCGTCCAACTTTGTCTCATTTCGGTTTATTTCCAGTTGTCTTGACCAACTTCGGTTTACCTCGACCTACTTTCGATTCTTAAAAGCACCTGAAAAGTACTCGTGAGGGGATTGAGAATGTGAGGGGATTTTTTTGGCGTTTCCTGCTGTCTCGTTCAATTTTGTGTCGTTTCGAGCTATTTCCAAAACGTGGCGGTATCTGTACCCGAGGAAAAGGACTTTTTCTTTCATAAATCTCTGTGAAATAGGTATACCTAGACGTTGTTACGATTATATTTCGTTAATTACATCTCGTTTTGTGTTGATATATATATTTCACAAGATTGATATTTGAATACGCGTTTATAATATGTAAAATAGATATTTAAGAACAAAAATTTTCACTCAATCTGCTGGAATATAATTACAATATGTTAATTTGTCAAATTTGTCAATTTGAGAAGTATAAAAAACACAAAGTACAAAGAAAAAACTATTTAAAATATCGAAATATAAATGTTAAAATGACATTATATCAAGTTAAACTTTAAAATTAACAATTACTTTCTAATTGTTTTTCTGTTCTTATTTTTTCCCAAACGCCTCGTATGTATAGAATAAAAATGGTAGAATGTAGAATGAGTAAGAGGGAGGGTTAATCACTGCGACCTTAAAGATCTATTTGTGCCCCTCTTCCTTGAGTCATCACACAGTCTATAACCCATCATACCCTTGTTGTACAGGAGACAAGGCATTTCCCATCCTCCTCTGGCAACAGTTCTTCCTCCGAGGGTACAAACCCTTCCACGGTTGGAGTTTGGCCCTCCGTGCCGCTCTTCACAGTCGAGGAGCTTGCCTCCGGCTGACGAACCCGTAAGGTGGAGACTGGAGGATCTGTGTCCATTTTCTCCAGCTCTTCAACTTTGTCTCTCCTTAGACCTGATATCGGTGTTGTCCCGTATCTATAATAGAGGATATGTCCTTCTTTCTCTATTGCCTCCTTGGATTTGAGGTCAATTCCTATTGTGAGGACCTGACCATGACCCTTCTCCTTCGAGTTGATAACTCGCCAACTCGATGTTCTTACCTTGAAGTTCTGACCCTGGATAAGGCTCAGCAGGTAGGTGGTGTCTTTCCCCTTGCTCCTCAGCAGAAAGACCGTGATGGCATAAAAATGGTAAAAAAAATTCTAAAATTAAAAAAAAAATAATAACATCTAAAAATTCGCCGAATATGTCCTTAGGAATTTTAACACTAATCAATATATTTTTAAAATTCCTTGCTCGTTTAACATCTGCTATTAATATTGCGATATTAAACACGAAAATATTCGGTTGCCTAATGTGTTCTTTATTCTCTCGGTGTGCCGGCCATCTCGGCAATAAAAAATACCTAGTCATAATCTCTCTTCCGTCTGGTGGA